ATTTACATTACCCTTTGTGTGCTGGATAGACCAGGACTCAACGAAAAGCCGCTTTCGCCAATTCTTCTCCAAGGCCAGCACTGTGCTTCCCTCGAAGTCGACAGTGTGGCCGGCGGCTTCTGCGTGCTCCGCGAGGGCGCTCGCCTCCACATCCTTCTTCCGGACATCATATTTGTGTCGCGTAAGCCTCTCTGCGAAGTTCTTACTTTCGCCAACGTATGAGGCCGGGCAATCCTTGCATGGTATGCGGTAGACCAAGCCTTGGGCCCTTTCTTTGGGGGGCCGATCCTTCGGGAGGGGGAGGCGATGACCGATTGTAAACACCGGCTAATGAGTCACCGCAATCCCGTAGCGACCGAGGACGCGGGAAAGGGTCTCGCTGGTGCGGCTAATGTAGGGGACACAGACGCGAATGGGAGGGGGTCTGCTGCGCCCTAGGGGTGGATGCCTTGATTTCTCGAGTATCCGAAGAATAAACCGTTCAGGGTAACCGTTCTTGCGGAGATCCGATGTAACGACCTTGATTTCCTCCTGGAGGCTTTTCTTTGTGGAGCAGGTGGAGAAGGCGCGCCTGAAGAGTGCAGAGGCCACCGACGCTTTATGACATCGGGGGTGGTGGGAATCAAACCCCAAGTATCTGCCAGTATGAGTTGGCTTCCTGTAAACAGAGAAGCTTAGCCCACTGCCACTCCTGGTTACATTGTTCTCCCCCCTCTTTGGGAGTGGGGAGAACAATGTTCGCAAAATCGCGTCGAGGGTCGTTCGACGTCCTTCACCTCCTTCGTTTCCCGTAAATGTCAAGCAGAAAAGCTTGAATGGCAGGCACTTACCAGCCTTATTTCTCACAATGGGAGATAACTGGGGCTCCGTGTTTTCGGAGTTTATTTTTCGTCAAATTCGGAGGGTGTTTTTCGGAGTTTATTTTTTGCGAAAGATTTGGAGTTTATTGGAGTTTATATTTGGTTGATTCCCAATTCTCTGAAATTCGGAGTTTAATTTCGCAGTGTTTCCTATTCAACATAAACATGTAAATAATAACCGGATGTAAACGTATGCCAGATAAACAATAAAACGCGCTTGTACCGATTAAAATTCCTTCAGATGAATTTGACGTTTGTGCCATTGCCATTGGCAATATTAATTTGTCCCACTACAAAAGTGTTGCTTCGATTAACGTCGATACCTTAAAAATCAATGAACTTCCGGGGCAGTCACTACGAAGCTCGTAGTCACCCCATCTTATTCAATCAATCTATCCCGCGGCCGCGCGAGGTGGAGTGGTAAAGGAGGTAATAGAAAGTTTCAACTGTCCCGTTTTTCTATTTAATAGAATCTCTATGGTGCATAGCTTTCACTGTTAGAAAAGCATACCTTCTGCTTTCTCTAAGTCACAAATCGCTTGGCTCAATATGGAAACCAAAAGAGTGGGTTTTGTCGTGCCCCGAATGTACGATGACCTGCTGCCCTGAATCAACCTCGACGAAAGAAGCGGCAAGACTCCTTTTGACAACGGTCTGAGATTTGAAAGATAATTATGGTGCCAGTTTCTGAGGACCATTAACTTCGTGCTGATCAAATTGTAAAAAAAAAAAAAAAAATGTCTTTCACTTCTTTTTTTTTGCGGGGGGGGGGGGGGGGGGGGGGGAGGTGGCATGGGCACATAAACATTTGGAGTTTATCGGATAAATCCGAATTGACCAAAATTTTACCGGCGGGTGTTTTTCGGAGGTTTTCGGATTTATCCGAAAACACGGAGCTGTAGAGATAACACAGAAAGGGTACACAGCACGCATTAAAAAAAATGAAGTGGAAACTTTCAAGAGGGGCGAGAATACGTCGAATACAAAACCGCAAAAACATAAGTAGAGAACCGCGCTGAGCGGGTCTTCACAATCCAAGAGAGTGGCAGAAAGTGTCTAGCTGATAGAGGGCGCGAGAGTCGCACCAGCCGCATCAGTATCAGGCTATCAGCAACATGGCGGCGGCCTAGGAGCGTTTTTTGGGAGCAAAGGCCGCCGCCGCCAGCGCCGAAAATACAGGGAGCAAAGGCCGCCGCCAGCGCCGAAAATTCCCCCCGCGGTCAGAGCGTAAACTAAACGTGTGACAACGCGTTGACCAACCAGCAAACCGCGACGTCACAGTATTGGAAGTGACATTTAAAGCGTGAAATAGAAGCGTGAATCTCGCAGCAGCACGACGACGACGACGACGACGTTTAGAGGATGCCACACCGGACGTCGGCGGTGCCTCTTCTAAGCCCTGGGTCTCGGTACCTCGGAGGCGGCAACTTTCTGCTTTGACTGAGCTGCCCCCTTGGAGCCTGATGCTTCGACCCCAGTGAGCGACAGCACCATCATGCTCCTGGGGCTCCTTTGTGCAACCGTGCACCGATCGAACGGCAGGCTGCAGATCCCCTTGGCCCACACTTCTGACCCACCTCAACGAAATGTGGACATATTCACTTCGGACTGACATTCTTTGCAATAGCAACAAACCATCTCGTCGTCATCTTGCATGTATATACTGCTCGCATTATCATGTTCCTTGGGCGCGACACCGCGGGCCTCCATGGTACGGGCTGTTGCCTTTCCGTGGTGCCGCCGCTCTCCAGAGCCAAATGACGTTATTATTATTATTATTATTAAAACACTGCAAAGGGTGGGGCGCGCGATCGTCTGTAGACGCGGTTTGCTCGTCTCGGGTTAAGACGGTCCCGCTGGGTCGTGCGCTGGCTTTGGCAGTGCTTTTTTGCCCCCAGTCTCAGCTGAGACGCTGTTTCTAGCAAGTCGGCCCTGGTTTGGACCGCACGTTCGTTTATTTTACCGTTGAATATGGACGTGACAAAACTCTAACATGCACCAAGTTTTCAGTCACCAAGAGTTATACTTTCTTACTCGTGCGACGCTAAAACGATTTAAATTAGTAGTGTCACATATTTAGAGCTTATGACCACCGCTAGGGGCTGTTTCGAGGCCTGTGGTTGGCCCCGAGTAGCCCCGAGATGCTCGCCTAATCAAACCAACATATGGCCAAACTCCCTGAATAAACGGCTCTGGTGTAGGCGGGTTTGCTGAGCTACGTTGCCATGTTCTTCCTGGGGAAAAAAGCCAACTATGTCAATAGATTCACCTAAATGTCGCGTACTCACGCCAAATCCGTTTAGGGGGTTCTCTCAGATATTTGAGAGAGTAGAAAGGCAACATATGTTAATGAACTGAATGTAATTTCGCAAACGAGCTGGTGTACATCAATAATGCAAGAAAAAAACGATAGTGCACGTAATAATACGACACAAACTTGATACCTTTCAGTGTTTGTTTCTTTTTTTGCCTATTGTCTAGGGGTTTTTGTCATGTTGAGCCTAAGTTACAATGCACCGCCTGAAGAAAGAACATTTTCGAGAGTAAATTATTACGTCAAAGCACTAGGATATCCATTTTTTAGGCAAGATTTCTTCGCTGTTTACTTTACTAGACCTATTTTGATATTTCCATGGCTTCTTTCTGGCTTAAAAAAATCGCCAATTAATTATTGCGGCTGACTTTCTCAAGCATCTTCTGCGTAAAAGATTAAAATATTTCTTCGTGTGCTTGGTGCTTTATTTCTTGTTTTAAACCGCGCTTACCGTATCACAATATCAATTTCGTATCAGGTGACTTTCGGTCTCTCTCGAGGTTTATTTATTTTGCAATAGTGCATATATTCTTTTGCATTAACAATTTACTTGTCGTAGTTTTTTGACGCGGACATTTATGTAGGACTAAGCGGTCGCATACTCAATAATTTCCGCAAAATATGCATAATGCCGCGGGCGCAGGTGGCCAAATAGGCAGCGGCCCCGTGGCCTGACGGTTATCGCGCTTGCCTCCCACGCGAAAAGCCAAGATGCGATGCCATGCAGCGGATACGCCTTGATGTTGTTTCTGTAATGTCGCGTTCTCATAAATTCGGGAACCCTGTTGCTTATTCAAGATTAGAATGTTCTACGCGCCGAACCTTCTACGCCGATTGTTCCAGATGCACACGCGTGTGCATAAGGGGATCCTTGAGGCGAGCCGGAGTCAGTTTTCGCCCCAGCGTTCTATCTGGCTGTTTCGCTGACATCAAGGCTTGCGACGCTAACCTACTTCTTTCTTGCTTTGGGCACAAGTTCGCCCCATTAAACGTTCAGTTTCTTCAGTTATTCGCACCTTCATCATTTGTCATTCGTGACAGCCACCGACGTGATGCGCGGTACAACGCATCACTTAAGTGAACTTAAACTTCTTCCTCTATATTTGGCGAAATGTTGCGTTGTCGAATTTGGAGGCTATATTTGTGTCGTTGTTACTCTTTTAGGATGATGTTTCCGTTAAGGAAAAGGCAGCTCGCACTTTTCGCCTTGATGCTTAGTCTACCGGCCCTTCAAAGCGGTAAGTCGAAATAAAGAAATACAAATATAATATATGTGATATTTCTATATGACTTCGATACAATGTTTTGTCAGTTTTATTTATTTTATATTTTTAAATGTTATTGATTTCCAGTTCCACCACTCCCCTTTGGACTTCGCCTGTTGCTTTAGAACGCCAGGTGTCTGATGACTTAATAACATGTAGTGTGTAATATGCATATGACATAAAGAAAAGCAGTGCATCACCTCCCATTTAAGAGTCTCACGCACGCTACACTGTTAAACTGTTCATCTTTCGCATATTGTATTCGTTCAAAAAATTGCACTGTCTTCAATTTGCAAAGAAGCTGTCGCGACACCAGGGGCATTGGCGTTTGGAAGCTGGGCCGGGAGTTGAGCAATTTATATTATTCGGAAAAATACGCGTGAGTGTAGTGTCAGAAATAACAGGTTTGAAGATGTTTCCCAATATCAAAAAAATATTTTATGCAGATGGCCCAATTTGCGAATATGCATTGAAAGTGTTTTTTTTGAAGTCCTCATATATGTATTATCTTGTGTTAAACCGAATTTATGAGAAGGGTGCTTGTATTTTCTTCGTATCAAAATGTTGACGCAAAGGAAAATGAAAGAAGAATGTACGTTACATTAATTGGAACGTGCGTTGAAGTAAATCGAGGCACTCTGGTATTAATTTTGATTTATTTATCTTTTAATCTAAATACTCTGAAGGTTAGAAAATAAAAAAAGAATCCGCTTTTAATATAACAAGTACGAAGTGCACACATAAGCAAGAACATTCTTAACATAAAATAATATCAGTAAGAATTTGATCAAATCGAGAAGACGGATCAAACCAACGCTTTTGTTAAAAAAAGAAACAATCATAATTTAAATGCATTAAATGAAACATAAACGCGAGAGTGGAATGGGCTTCTAGTAGCTGGAATGGGGAACTGGGAAAAGCTGAAACCAAAAGTAAAATAAAATAAGCAAGCGGAGCTAAATAAATTATTGTGTGCATCATATGCCTAAAATGAGCTGCTGAGATGACCCGAAAAACTGGTACATTGATACCAATTTTTTTTTTAGGGGCGCTTTTGTCTGGTACGGAAACTCGGGATTGCTTGCAGCTTATCATTGACGCCGGAATGATACACTGCACACTCGCAGGATATGAAGTAAGTATTTGAAGGCATAGCAATGAAATACAAATTATACATTTTTAAATAACCTAAGTGACTGTCTAGTTTTTACCGTGCGAAGACTAATGGTTTAAGACCGTTTTTTTTAATGTATTTTAGTTTTGAAAACCTGTAATTTGTTGGAAAACACTCACAATATTACCAACTTAGTGACGCATCGCGTAAACACTTAAGTGAAAATACACGGCGCTCTTTTTTATGGTGTTTTTTTTACTGGTGTCAGGTGGAGCGAGTATGTTTGACAAGCTCGAACGCAGTAGGTATTGAAGAGGTCAAAACTCATAGACTTCTAAAGGTTTTTATATTGGAGGTGAACGTTTTCTTTAATAAAAAAATGTTTTACAAACTTTCCACGGACAAAAGTTTGAAGTTCGGTGTGCTCAATCGTCTTCTTTTTTTTTTTTTTCTTCCTGTTGGGGTCATGCTTGTTCTTTCACTAAATTAATACCATTCGTTTCAAGGTTACGTAACACGAGGCGTAATCTTAGAAAGCTTGATGATGGGCCTAAAAGCAACCAACGTCGCTAGATCAACTCGCACACTAATAGCCCCTTTTCCTGGCAAATCGCAAGTGCTCGGCGCGCGCTCGCCGAGTGAAATGCGTGCGATCTTTTTTGTGTTCCGCGTGTAAGTGGCAGAGCGCGTCGAGCGTTCCGGACAAGTTATCTGCTCCGCTTGACCGGAAATGTTTGTTCCGTAACCTTCCGGAACATTTCAGTTTCTATATTTGCGTTAGCGTTGTGTCGCAAGCCACGAAAACGAGTGCGCCAGCAGTACTTGACGATAGAAAGTTATGAGAATACGAAACAGATGCTGTGCTGTTGTAAGCCTAGTTACGAGCGGTGCAAAAGTCGGTGAAGCGATGCGATGCGGTTCCGAGGCGTCGACGCTTCCGCCAAATGGCCGCAATATCAATCAACATGTGTGAAAAGTAACTTAGTATTTGTTATGAATTAGCTCGAGTAAATCAGGCGCAGGAAAAGAAATACCAGCATTGTTCCAAGCGTGTGGTATGTGCAAACGAGATGCCAGACGATTTTAATATCGCGCTACCAAAGCATGGCGCCGATAGCGCAATCATCACAGTATCGTTAAGAGAGATATGAGAGAGTGGTGCAATAACCTTGATACATAGCCAAATTAGTAAGCTCTGTATCTTTTTAAAGCGGAAATAAGTTGGTACGTAGCCCTGTGTAAGTGTTTGTATCGTGTGGTTTTCAAGCTTAAATTTAGAGAGTCCGCAACTTGTCGGTTTTTGTAACACTGCTGGAATTTCGTTTGTAGCTTTTGAGAGTTTTAAATTTGTTTGTTCTTTTTTTGCCGGAAGCATGCTGGTGGGTTGTTTTATGTAAGAATAGTAACACTGTTCCTATCCATTGCAGCAGTGTCCCGCCCACAAACACACATGTGCTTTCGCGGGCCTGAGTTATTTTTTTAATCGTTAATTGTGCAATAAAAATATGCATAATTTATGCATGTACCTTACTTGGGGTTGTGCCTATTATTCCGTGAGAGGGATACGTCGATCGGTTCATAAGCAAAGGGAGTAAATATGAGCTGCACTTGACCACTCCGACGACTTTGGTACAGTGACTGGCGAGGCATCGGAGGGCGAGTGTGGTAGACAACAGTTGGAACAGCGCCGTAGCTGCGGTGAATGTGGCCGCGCAGTGGAAATACTGGAGACCAGCTCCGTCTGCTGCATTGAATACCGTTAAAGAGTCGTCACCCGACCACTCCACCACAAAGACCAGCTCCGCTTCCAAAATCAGCGAGCGGCCACTATTTGAAAGGGGAAAGGGCTAGAAGACATGTTATACCCCTAAGAGTCTAAACACGTTTTCTTTAAAGACTTACACGCATAGCTGCACTCTTTCATCACCCTTATTATGACCTAATACACACTTTCTAATCGTAAAAAAGAGTTCTATTAGAGTGAACACCCTTCATCTTTTAAGGTAGTAAAGATGTAAAGGGTGTTTTGGTGGAGTGAGTGAGTGCAGAAAAGATTTCTTTTTTCGTGAGTTCGCTGCACTGACACTTGTTTTAGCGACGATTTCGAATAATTATTGCCCATACCCATGCTTTTTACTAGAGATACGTTCCTGAAGCTTAGACATAGTATGCATTACTCACAATATTGACGTGAACATAGGACCCAATTGTAGCCTTCGTAATTCCGGAGAGGGTTAACTGCGAATCAGTGTCTAATGTGGTGCTGCAGTCACGGGGCCATGGTAAATCTCTCGTGCGTAATTTATTGCGTTTTTACTTGCTGTTTCCGTGCATGTCAGAATTTAATGTGATGCTTATTGCTTGTAATTTTGAGCGTCCTATTTTTTGTATTCACTGGCGTCCTAAGGGTGCTTCTATAACACCATTAGGTTGATAGCCCGTAAACAAGCTGATTTACATCCTTAAGGGCGTAGCATGTTTCAGTGTTCGATTGCAAACTACGAATGCTTTGTGCACCATTCACCGACCCGCTTCAATGCACGGTCACTAATATCTGCCGGTATTTTTGGCGGTAAAATAGCTGCACACAAGATTTTGTGGTGATATAATAAGGGGAACGAGAAAGTAATGGCACGTAGCGTTTCAGGCAAATGGCTAAATATAATTTTGTTCCTGTCTCGTTTCGATTATTAATTTTTTATTTCGCTTGCAGAAAAAGTGTGAAGGGGCTTGAAATGTAAGTGAAATGAACCGCATCAAAGTGTCTTAGAGTATGAATAAAGGTTTACTTCTGGAGAATATCGTGCTAAGGAAGAGTTAAAGGCTAATTCTTTTTCCCAACGGAGCTGGTCACGTCGCTTAAAAATCCCCCATGCGGCTATTTTACTCGCCATTTCTGATCCCGCGGCGATCAGGAAACTTTTCCAGAGGCTAATAGATCCCACAACGTATCCGCAACAACAGCTCAGAAAGCTGATGTTGCAATTAAGAGAGGGCATCGCTGCAGTCAATCTTGCTCAAGCACTCAATCCTGCTGTACCGACATCGACGCAAGCAGCGTCAGTTAATGACATATGATAACTTTTACTTTCTTATTTGTGACATTATGTTTTAATGAATTTCAGTCCTTTGAAGGTTTCGACAAGTTGTGCATGTTAAGATGCGATGAAGACGGTTTGCTGCCGATGCCAACTGGGGTTTGCTACAGTGGTGACGTGGTAAGTCACAAGGCAATGTTTTTGATGCCTCCGCATGTTTTTTTTTCTTCGCAGGAAAACGTGACACGAAAGCTCGCCTCTTTGATATACTTACGAATTACATTTATCCTTCATTTTTATTTCACGAAATGCAGCATCGCAGGTAAAATATTTTTGTCAAATATATAACGTTGTTTTTTTTAGTTTAACCATAACACATATGGTAATTGCTGATCGGCTCTCTATTGGTTCAGTGCAAAGTTAATAATCGAACCATTTTTAAATCTGCAAGACCTTGCGTCCTTTCATCAGGTCCGTGCAAGATGCACTCAGTTATCTTGGTTATGTATATTAAGATGATCAAATATTCTCTTTTATCCACTTTGCGGACGGTACATAAAACAACAACAAAAAAAAGGTAACGTGTAACTACTATACTATTTAACGTTGTTGACTATTCTTTCACGAAATTGAAAGCGCTTTTAAGTAACACCCAACTCCGCGTTATCACGTCGTCGACTACTAAGGAGGCATCAGCTGGTAGGAAGAAACCTCTTATTAGCGTCGAAACCCAGCTATCCAACCAGAATTCCTAGAGCCTCTCAGTTTTGCGTTTAGGCAAATGACTATCTCCTCAATTACTGGTGGGCGTAGACTTGGTGGCAGTGGTCATATTCAGTACCGTCCGCTTTTCAACTTATTGATGAGAATAATTTATTCTTAAAATTAGCACCTGTCCTGCCTGTTGTTTTACAGCAAGAATCATTAGCATCACAAAATATATTACATTATAATGTGATAGAAGTTTTATTAAAAATTAAAGCAGGATTAAAGACAACAGTATGTCAGGGGTTGCAAGGTTAGCAAAAGTAGCCGCTAGTAATAGTAGTATTTAAAACGTGGCAGAGTATGGGAGAAAAGTTTAGAAGTACAAAACACGGAAATGGCATGTTTCGATAGGTGTGTTGTCAATGTTTTTCGTATGTTTAATTATTTCTGAGATTCTTGACCTATGTCAGCGCACTCAGCTCCAAAGGAACGATATTAGGTTGGAACCAAATACGATATAGCTTCGCCAATACTGGAAACTCCTTTTAAACACATACGAGCGGCGGCGAACGTGACAGTGACGCCTCTAGCGGACTCGGAGTCTACGGAAGCAGTCGTCGCAATGGAAAAGTATAGGCTCCGCGACGTCCTCGAGCTTTACAAGCCACGTATCGTCACCCTAACAGCAGAAACAATTTATTACGGTCAGTTCGCTTGCAAAGCGGAATCCACTGATCGCAACTGCAACGACAATCGAATAACAACGCGCGCATAAACAAAGATAGAGCAGTTTATTTAGCGGTCTCAAACGCCTCTCAGGGGATCACACGCGTTTGAAACGCGTCTGGGAAGCGGAAAAAAGGCGTTTAGCTACTCGAACTACGTCGTAATCGTTAAAACATGCAAAAACGACATGTTAATATTACCAGAGCAAGCGCACGAGCTGCTGGAGCATGAAAACAAAACAAAAAGTAAAGATAAAAATGAACCTGCAAACACTTACCGAACTTTGCAGAAAAAATGGTATCGCCGTTCCCGACGAAAATAAGAAGAAACGGGAAAGAGAAGCAAACAACGGCGAATAAAACAAAGAAGCTAGCAAACAACTATTTCAACGACGACGATCGTTGCGGCGCTTATAGAAAAAAAGGAAGAGAAATGGAAAGCAGCGAATGAATAGACGCTTTGCAGCAGCTGTGCATGGACGCCGCCATAACTGACCTTCAGTTTTTGTTTCCTCTTATTCCGTTTATTTCACTTCATCATTACCATAGAAGGCCAGGTTATTGCCACATTAGATTCAACTGTGTCCTTTTCTAAAGCATCGGCCTTTGTAGAGGATCGTCAACTACCGTTTCAGTTGCTCGGCATCTCGGTAAGACAAGAGAAGGTCACCAATGGCGGCTATATTTTGGCGCGTGTGCAAAGCGTCTATAGCTGGTGGTCGCCACCGGTGTTGAGTTCACGACAAACAAAGCGGAAGCAACAGACGAAACTAATGAAAAAAGAAGAAAGCGACCCTTTTTTTTTTTCAGCTGCTTGTTGTACATTTCTTCATTTGCTTTAGCGGCGTAGGTACGAACTAAAACAAAACAGGGGAAATAAATAACGTAGTGCAGCTCACACTGCCCGGTAAAAAAGAGTCGCAGAAATGTTTTAGTCGCAGGCAGCAATCTTCTATATGTGCTAGCAGTGAGTAACCTTTTTTTTGCTTTCGAATTTCTTTTTCCAGTGACTTTGGCGGGTTGTTCGTTCGCTCGCTTGACGAAGCGGTTTAGAAGTGCATTCAAGTACTTGTTGACGTAGGTGTCCGCAGGTTGACGTAGGAAGCAGAAGAAAGATTTTCCACCACATCGCACAAACTTGTTCTTGAATGCGGCCGGTTGATTAACAAACGATGACCCGTAGCAGACGTGCCGGCTAAAAATCGGAATTTGTGCACTGTAAATAACGTGACTGAAATCATCTTTTTTCGCGGGCTACGACGCTCTTTCCTTCTTTCTTTGCAAGCGCGAGAAGTCTGCTTTTTTCGTAACTCCGCTTTTGTTAATCTATAATCGCGTCAGATTTGCATATGCACAACGCCTTCTTTCGGAGCATACTGACATCGCCGTAACGTACGTGGTTCGAAATTGACTTCTGCTTCTTCATCCGGAGACGATCTTAACGGGATTAGCCAGCTCGCCTGTTCGACGAAACGGTTATAAGCAAGACACCCATGAGAAATGGGAATTGCAACGACAAAACGAATTGACTGATAAGAACAATAAAGTTGAAACGAAGCTATGTTCTGAAATGTTTGTACATTTCCCTTTTTCACGAAACAGCGCGAAGGCTTACATTCGTGTTTTGCTTGGCTTACATAAGTTGTGACAGAACGTTTTCTTCGGGAGAACTCCGAAATTGCACCCAGAAAGCTGTAACGTCTTTCCCACGCGAAGAGAATGTCTTTCACTCATGAGCTGGCACCCATTTTTTACCTTTCAAAGCCGCGAATGTCCGTGACAATTTTTTTTCGTTGGTCACCTCGCACGGAGATAGGCAAAACCAATGCATTTCGGAGAATTTGTCTGCCAGCGGAGACTCCGAGCTCGCCAGGGGCGCTGCAATCACTTTTCGCCCGTTTTCCGCGGGAGTTGCGAGTATTGGCTTCCACGGTATTTGTTGGAACATTTCTTACCCTCCACAAGGCTTCTGCCACTTAGGCTGCCGTAGTATACACGCAGGTGACGCCACTGATCAATCGTCTTTGTCCCCGTGTAGTTCCAACGACTTGTGTTTTGATGGTTATAAAGCCAGAATTTCATTTTCTTTCTCTACAGGACTGCGAAAATCAAGGGGTGAAACACAAAGTCCTTCAATGGACTATGGACGCAGAAAAGAAGAAAACCAACATTATAAATAAATGGTGCCGTACCTCTGGCGGGAAGTAACTTTAGTTGTGATGACTGCGATAAATAAATAAATGTAATGTATTCTTCATGTTAAGTATTATTTATAAGGAAAGTATCTTTCTTCTTTAATACTTCCTGTTGTGAGGTTCAGTGACTGCTGAGGTGTAAGCAGGTACAAGTGCATCGTGTTGTATCTGGGTTTTCCCCCTTTTTTATTAAAGGGATACTACAACGAAATTTCGGCGCTCATTTTTTGGTCTATATGTGTTCAAAAGAGCAGTATCACATGGAACATACCAATGTCTTGTTAAAAGAGTCTCGAAAAGGAATTTTAAAATGAATTAAACGATTAGCAAAGAGCACCTGGTGGATGTCGCTAACGCCTCGTTTGTAATGCTCGTCTAGGAACCTTGACAGCTAGTGACTGAGGTTGTCTCGTCTCCGGCCACGACGAGAGAAGGGTGGAAGGAGGAACTCCCCTCTTCCCGAGAATCCCTTTTGTGTGTCGTAGAAGTCGCTATTGTCCCCCTAGAAGATCATAGCAGATTAACCCGTCACTCAAAATTCGTACAAAAGCAGCCGCTTCGGTGGCTGCCCTTAGCGAAAAGTCGTTAAAAATCAGTATACTGAAAGTATACTAATAGTGAACTTAGGGTATGTACTGAAAACGTACTAGTTTCACACTTTTATGAAACAAAATAGTATACCTTTAGTACACCCCAAGTACATATGTAGTATACCATAAGTGCACCTCGAGTGAACTTTTACCATACTATGAGTGCACGTTTAGTACACTACATGTATGCTTTTAGTGTACTAAATGTACACTACCAGTACATATATGCGGAGTGTCCCAGATAACTTGCACCAAACTTTAAAAAAAAAAAAAAAAAAAAAAACAAAAAACGGAGCGTTCTGCGGGAGTGAAACCAACTGTGCGCTGTTAGAAAGTCTCTTGGGAAAGTGCACGAAATTGTTTTAGTGCGCCTATTTATTTAAGAGAAGCAAGCTAACTTTTGAAATCTTCGTTTAAAAGCCGAGGTGTGAAATGGAAAGTTGTAGAGCGCATTAAGAAACACCCAATTAAACCATTTTCAACAAGGTGCACTTGCATGCTCCTTTTTCCTAGCCTTCAAAAAAAAAAAAAAAAAAAACGCCCGCGAAATACAAAAAAAAAAAAAAAATACCGCGTAACAACTCGCTTCCCCAATCACGGCGTGCGAGCGCGCCGCGAATGTGCGTTCTTTGAAGGCCGGAAAAAAGAACGAAAACGTATTATGTTTCAAACACTTTAATTGGGTGTTTCTCAATGCGCCCTGCAACTTTACAATTGACATCTTGGCCCTTAAAAGAATATTTGAAAGGTTAGCTCAATAATCTTAGTTATTTACACAACCAGGCGCATTAAAAAAATCTGTGCACTTTCTCAAGACGCTTGCTAACGACAGTTGATTTCACTCCTGCAGAGCCCTCCGGTGTTTTTTTAAGTATGGTGCAAGTTATCTGGGATGCCGTGTATGTCGGGCGTTCTGAATGGAAAGAACGGTCTCGAATTGGCCAGAAAAATCGGCGCCTGCATTTAAAAAGCTGACTTTTCAAAGGTGTCTGTTTGAACGGCTGTATTCCAACATGTGAAATTTCATGCCATATAGCTCCATTCTCGTGAAATGTTAACAAACGCCGTTGACAACTCAATTGATGATGATAATGCAGAGGCGCCCTCATCGCGAGATGCACTCTTAAGAATGAGTCAGGAAATTAACGAGGAAATCTTTGGCAGCTCTACTCCTCGTGGGAAGGACGTACCGGCGTCTTCTGAAACTGTGTGAGAAAAGCCATAAAGAAGAGGTGCATTGCATTTTTCAACTGAAAGTATGTATGTGTAGCATACAAACATTATGATCAGTGTTCTTCGCGTAATTGATAAGACAAAAATTTAAATCCTACTTATCACTTTATTCAAGTTTCCGAACCTGCCTCACTGTACACTCTCCTTTGTGATGATGGTATGCCATTACATCCTACGTAAAAAGAGAAGAGAAAATTACGTTATGCCACTTTATGATATAACACCACATAATTCGCTCAAAGGACCACTATGTGAGGAAGGCAAGATAGCAACAACTTCATCCTGACAAAAGGGTGAGGAAAATCGGACAATATCGTTTCTGAAAGCCTGATATGTCAGACATTGGTGGTGTGCCTTCTTTGCATGGCCAGGGATATGCTACAGGTAATAGTGTTCATTGCAGGGAACAACATTTATTACCTCAAATTTTAGGCACCATAAAGAAAAAAAAAAAGATTAAAGATTGCAGCTTCTACATTTTAAGCACATGGATTGATAAAGGCCACAACGAAAACATCTGAGAATGGCCAATTTCAGGGCTGTGTATGCTAATAATAAAATTGTATTTTAGATGTTTAGTATAATACGGTATTCGATATTGGTTTCAAGATTAATTGTACTACTGTAAATGACCTAATTTTCGCGAAGGCTTAGTTTTTGCGAGTTTATCGAAATTGCTCAAAATTGGTCATTCAAAAAATAACCTTATGGATACGAATGCATTGAACATTACTCCCGATTACAAAACTTTGTACGTGGAAAGTATTCTCAACACTAACACTTCATAAAATGAAGTGTTAATGAACTATCAATCAAGCAAGGTTTCAGAAATATTACGGTGCCAGATATCGGCGCACTTGTTGCCGGAGTGTGGGTTAGGAGGGTGTTCCTGAGAAGTCCGTCTCTCTTCGCTCCCAGTTCCATACTACCTCATTCCGCGGGAAACGACCAAAGCAAACCTCTCGAATCGAAGCCAGCGAAACGAACCAAAGCGAGCTTCCAAAAGCGAAGCAAGCGACAACAAAATCAAAGCAAACTTCTAAAAGCGAAGCAAGCGACAACAGAGCCAGAGCTAGTGGGAAATGAGTTTTCCAAGTATAAGTTAACAAGGTCCCGTTTCTTTGCAGTGGGGTCCAGGGATCCGTGGAGGGGTCGCTCCGGTGAGGCGAGGCTAGCCCCGCGCCCCGGTCATAATTCAGACGGACGGTCCCCAGGTTCCAGATGGCCCCTGCGTCCTAGTTAGCGAGTGAATGACACCAGACAAAAGGCGCATCATCAAAGAAAGCCTGTTGGTTCGAGCCGATTTCGTTCTTTCGCATTCCGCCGCTTAATATAACATGGAACAATCTTAAACGAAAATAAATGGGGTTTTGCCACACAACCTTACACCCCCCCCCCCCCCCCCCCACCTAATATTGAGATTAGGACCCTATGTTTCTTTTACACAATTACATTAGAGCTACAACGACACCTTATCCTCGCTCGTAGCAACTCAAATAAAAGGGAATCAGCAGTGATAATACGACGTACACATATTAACCCTTGTCTTAAGTAACGTCACGTTACTCTAAGAAAGAAAAATACATGAATGCGCACACTGGCTCATGTAAACACTACGCACGAAAAAAAATACTAAAATAAATGACTGCGAGCACTTTGCTCAGAACCACTCAAATCATTCGGGAAGGCGGCTCTGGTGAGCCTCCTCGGAAGGCCAGGCTAACAACGCATGCCATGAGGTCGACAAATCACACCGTCCAACATTCGTTAGGGTACGCGAGAGAGCATCGGCATTAAGATGCTGCGATCCCCTTCGGTGTGTTATTGTGGTGTTGTACCGCTGCAAAGTGAGGGACCAGCGCACGAGTTTCGCGCCCGTTGGACGCGTGTGGTAAGGTACGCCAAGGGATTATAGTTGGACACCACGTTGACGGACGCGCCGAACACCCACGTATCGAACCTCTGAAGGGTGCATACGACGGTAAGGCCTCGCGCTCAATGGTGGTCCAACGCATCTGCGTGTTAGTGAATTTTTGGTTCGCAAAAGATATGGGCCGCTCTTTTCCATCAATCCCCACCTGAGCCAGGCACGCCCCCGCCGCATGCGCGGACGCATCAGCGAATAACCAGTATGGCTGTTCAAGATCTGGGGTCGCCAACATGGTCGCGTCACACAATGCCTTCTTTAAGCTCAAGAACGATCTCCCTGCCTCCGGGTTCCAGGGCAGAACACTCGGCACCCCCTTCCCAGTTAGCTCTGTCAGAGACTTTGCGATCTCGGCGTAGTTCGGTACGTAGTCGCGGTAGTATATCCGCACAGACCAAGCAAGCTCCGGAGGTCACGTTTTGTTTATGGTCTTTTGAGTCCCTCTATCGCTTTGATCTTGTCAGGATCCGGACCATGCTTTCCGGAGCCGACCATAGGTACCTGATCTCCCCTTTGGCCACCTGGCACTTGTCAAGGTTGGCGGTGAAACTCGCGTCGCACAGCACTCTGAACACTACGTCCAGATGCTTCAGGTGGTTTTCCCATGTGTCCGAAAAGACAGCGATGTCATCGGGATACGCACAGGAGTAGTCCTGGTGCCGCGTTAAGATCCCGTTCATGACGCGCTGAAAGGTTGCCGTGGCATTCTTCAAACCAAACGGCATTACTCTCCTCGCAAATTGCCCGAGGTTGGTCACAAAGGTCGTCCTCTCCTGGCTCTCCTCGGCGATGGGGATTTGCCAGTAGCCCCTTCTTAAGCCAATCAGCGTGACGAACGAAGCCGCCCTGACGCGGAAAATCAGCTCTTGTTGTCGAGCCATCAGGAAGGCGTCGTCCGTGGTTCCGGAATTCAGCTGCCGATAATCGACGCACATCCGAATTGTGCCATCCCTTTATGAGACGCATACCACTGGGTGCGCGTATTCGCTAGTGCTAGAATAAATGAGCCCCGTTTCGAGCAACTCACCAATCTGTCTTCCCACCTCTTTTTTTAGCAACTCGGGCACCCGATACGGGTAGGATCTCCTCGGCACAAACCCCTCGCGCAGGGAGATTGTGTGCTCACCCATATTTGCCTTTCCCGGCGTCTCGGAGAATAAGCCAGGGTAGCGGTCGAAAATCTCGCGCACCTCCCGCTCCTTACGGGGGGCAAGGTGTCTAGTCGAAGTCTCAGGCAGCCCGCGATAAGCTGCCTCGTCCACC